CCAGAGTTTAGTTCCTCAGGCACTAAGTTCCAAGTTTCTAGGTAATACGAGCTCAGAGTGAACAAGAGAGACAGAAATCCTCCCTTCCTGGAGGATTATGTTCTAGTCAGAAGGGGGTGTTTTGTAGTCCCCTGGAAAGTGTTAAGTCCAATGTAGAAATATAAAGCAAGGAAAGGGATAGAGAATGTGAGGAGGTTACCTTTTTTTTTTTTTTTTTTTAGATTTTTTTGTTTATTTGACGGAGAGAGAGGGATCACAAGTAGGCAGAGAGGCAGGCAGAGAGAGAGGGGGGAAAGCAGGCTCCCCGCTGAGCAGAGAGCCCGATGTGGGACTCGATCCCAGGACCCTGGGATCATGACCTGAGCCAAAGGCAGAGGCTTAACCCACTGAGCCACCCAGGCACCCCCAGGTTACCATTAAAAAAAAAAAAGATTTTATTTATTCATTTGAGAGAAAAGAGAGAGCTCTAGTAGGGCTGGAGGGGGAGAAGAGGGGTAGAAGGAGATGCAGACTCCCCATTGAGCAGGACCCTGAGACCAGGACCTGAGCCGAAGGCAGACGCTTTGGAGGTTACCATTTTTAAAAGGGTTATCCAGGTGTTCATACCATATGTCTTCTGGCCAAGAAATTACATTAAGGGGAAGGAAACTTGACAATGGGCTCATGCCCTTGGAATTCACCATTCCTCTCACGTATCCTATTACCCACATAGATGGTAGAATGGCCTCCCGAAGGCTTAGCCAGCTAAGAGGCCACTCCCTGTGGGGTTGAGATGTCATTCTACAACATTCAGGACATGCCGTCAACTGGCAGTAGAGATAGTGGCGTTTCCTTGCAGATTACAACTAATAATCCACTGAAAAATTTTTTGGTTTCTATCCCTACAGCCCTGGGTTCACTGGATTTTGAGATTCTAGTCTCAAGGACCCCTATTTTCAGGGAACAGAGTCATGGTTCTGGTAAATTGGAAATGGAGTCTACCCCTCCCAGCCTCCACCCCCCAACCCCCACCATTTAGAAATCTTCATTGGCTGAACCAATGGAGAGAGAAGTTATTTTCCTGGATGAAATAATAGATTCTGATGAGCAAGGGGAAACTGGGTGGCTTTTCAAAATGAAGTCAAGGACGGTGTCTAGAACCCAGGGGATTTATTTGGGCACCTCCCTACACGTCTTTGTTCAAAAATAATGGTCCACAGGAAATTGCCAACTGATAAAGACAGAACCACTAAAGACATTGCTTCTGCGCTACACCTTGACTTTAGTGATTGGAGGTGGGCTCTATGAGCAGCCACATAGGTATATTTATACATTTACAAATATTTATTTATATATTTATGTTATATTATATAATTATTAATGTAATATAATATAAATATTATATAATATATAATATAAATATATATTCGCATATATTTATACATGTATATACATATATTCTATATTTACATATACTTACATGTATGCCCATATACATATATATATGCCCAAGCACTAAAATCAGGACACAGGACACTTCCCACACTCCAGTGGGCTCCCTCCTCCCCACTCCCAATCAATCCCCCACCAGAGGGAACCACAACTCTGCCTGTTTTTGACTTCATATAGATGGACTCACATAGTATTATGTTCTTTTGTATCTTTTTACTCTTCTCACTCAGTATTATACCTGTGAGATTCATTCACGTGTGTGTGGCCTTTTAAATGCTCTGTAGTATTCTTTTGTATGAATGTATCACAATTTGCTTATTCATTCTCTCATAGATGAATGTTTCAGTTATTTGCAGTTTAGGATTATTATGAAAAAGCAGCTAGGAGTGTTCCTATACATGTCTTTTGGGGGAAATATATAGTAATCACTATTGAGGATATACCTAGAAGTGAAATGGCTGAGTCATAGGGAATATGTATGTTTAACTTGAGTAAATACTGTCCAGTTTCCAAAATGATTCTATTTTTTTAAGATTTTATATTTAAGTAACCTGCAATTTCTACACCCAGTGTGGGGCTCAAACTCAGAACCCTGAGTTCCAGTCACACACCCTATCAAATGAGCCAGTTGGGCGCCCTGATTCTAAGAATTTAGACTTGTACTCACAGTGTATGAAAGAAAGTTCCAGTTGCTCCAAAGTTATCGTCTACACTTTGTGTTGTAAACTATCTTTTTAAAAAAATTTTTTAAAGATTTTATTTATTTATTCGACAGAGAGAGATACAGTGAGAAAGGGAACACAAGCAGGGGCAGAGGGAGAGGGAGAAGCAGGCTCCCCACCAAACAGGGAGCCCCCTGCGGGGCTCCATCCCAGGATCCTGGAATCATGACCTGAGTTGAAGGCAGACGCTTAATGACTGAGCACCCCCCCCCGCCCCGCCCCCCGGCGGGGCCAGGTCAATTATCTTAATTTTAGCCAATAGAGGATGTCAAAAGTTCGGAATAAAAAATGACAATCAGAGGTGCTCAGTTGTTAAACATCTGGTTTCGGCTCAGGTCATGATCCCAGAGTCCTGGGATCAAGCCCCACATTGGGCTCCATGCTTGGCGGGAAGCCTGCTTCTCCCTCTCCCACTTGCCCTGCTTGTGTTCCTTTTCTTGTTTTGTATATCTCTGTTAAATAAACAAATAAAATCTTTAAAAAAAAAGAAAATCAACAAATCACTGAAGTAGTAATTAGAAAAAGTTTATTGTGTACACACCAGAGACAGTTTGCAAACAAGGAGCACTTAAACCGAAACATGTTAGGAGGCTCAGAGGTATATCATTTTTTTAAAGATTTTACTTATTTATTTGACAGAGATCACAAGTAGGCAGAGAGGCAAGCAGAGGGGGGCGAGGAGCAGACTCCCCGCTGAGCAGAGACCCCCCCCACACACCCCACCCCCATGCGGGGCTTGATCCCAGGACCCTGAGATCAGGACCCTGAGATCATGACCTGAGCCAAAGGCAGAGACTTAACCCACTGAGCCACCCAGGCACCCCTCAGAGGTATATCATTATACAGCAGCTCCTACAGTGACTATTCACTCTTCACAGTGATTGGTTACGATATTAGAATTTTCTCAAATGCAAGAGAATTGGTTAGCAGTTATCACATATCAATTTTGCGGAACTACTTTGTTTTGCTTATGATTTTCAGAGACACCAGCAAGAAGTGACTCAGGACGAGTTAGCCTTGCCTATCTTGCAAAATAAGCTAAATTAAACTTTGCTTGTCTGACTAAACTGGTTTTGTATACTCAGAGTATTTTCAAATCTGGTCTCTGTTTCTTCCTTTTTTTTTTTTAAGATTTTATTTATTTATTTGAGAGAGATAGAGAGAGAAAGAAAAGATGAGGAGGTGGGAGGGGCAGAAGGAGAAGCAGACTCCCGCAGAGCAGGGACCTGATGTGGGACTCAATTCCAGGACCCTGAGATCATGCATGACCTGAGCTGAAGGCAGATGTTTAGCCAACTGAGCCACCCAGGTGCCCTTGGCTAGTCTTTGTTTCTATTTGATTTTAACAGGTAGATGCACGCAGTATCTCATTTGCTTTTAATTTGCATTTCCTTGATGAATATTAATGATGATCACCTTCTCAGGGGCTCATTAGCCATTTTGCTATTTTGTGAAGTGCCTGTGCGCAAGTATTTTGCCCAGTAAAAAAAATGAGTTGGTATTTTCCTTACTGATTTGCAGAAATTCTTTGAACATTCTGGAAAGACATCCTTTGTCAAAATTCATTTTGCAAATATATGTATTGCAAGTATATGTAACACATTCTGAGGTTTGCCTTCTCAACGTCTCTTGATAGTCTATTGGTAAGCAGTTGTGCTTAATTTTGGTGAAGATTAATGTTTTATATTGTGGTTAGTACTTTTTAAAGTACTTGCTTAGAAAACTTTATTTACCCCAAGGTCATGAAGACATTCTCCCATGTTTGCTTCCGGAAGGCTTACTGTTTCATCCCCACATTTATGTCTACAATCCATCTCAAACTAGTTTTTTGAGTTTGGCGTGAGATAGGAGAGTCAACACCTTTTATAGAAAATCGTTGACTTTCCTCAACGATTTTCAGGGCACTCTTGACTCTGTGGCTAGAAATAACTTCCCTACCCACAAATTTGATTGTGCAGTTCTCCTGCCTAAGTATTTTCAATGGTAGTCCATTGTTCTTAGGATAATATTCAGTCTCTTGCTTAATGTAGCTTAACAACCCCCAACTTGGTTTGGCCACCTCCGATTTCACAAGTCAAATCTGTCTCGTGTTCGCTGTCCCATCCGAGCTCAGACACACTGAGCACAGCATTCCCGGGACACACTCTCATCTGTGGACCTTTGCGATACAGAATGCTTCCATCTCCTTGGACTGGTTACCTATGATTCAAATTCCAGGGCTCCCCTCCTTCAGGAAGCCTTCTCTGACTGCATGGTCCTTATCCTTTAAGTTTAGGTTGAGTGACCTCATTATGAGCTCTCTTGTACCCCGACTTGTAATTGTGTTTAATTACAAGTAATCTGTAATTTCTCTAAGGGAAAGGAGGCCCATTTAGTTCACATGGAAGGTACTTCCTAAATATTATTTCATGTATGAATATACATAAGGTGGACTCCTCCGCGTGGGCCTTGCGGAAAGGGGTTTCTGTTCTCGGATCCAGCACTCGGCAAAGAGGTTAGTCTTTCTGAGCTTCAGTTTTCAAATCTATAAAATGGGAATGCAGTGTTCTCTAAGTAGGGTTGCTGTAAGCTGTACATAAATATTTAGCACGACTGGCACACGGCGGGCCCTTTTAATATTGATAAAGTGGTGGAGTGTACCGAGCACGTATTCTTTTCCATGCGCATGCGCCGCCCTGGGTCCGCGAGCAAGCCCGGCCGGCGCGTCCCCTCGCGTGCGCGTGTTCGACCAGAACCCCGGGACCCGGCCAGAGGTGAAGGGGCGGGACCTCCGCAGTACGCCTGCGCCGTAGGGAGGCCGTGCGCCGAGGAGGCGGGGCCGCGCAGGCGCGCAGGGTGCCCCGGCTCCGGAGCATAAACAAGAGCGGGCACGGGATGAGGCGGCGGTTGATCCCCGGGCAGCCAGCTGCGGCCAGCGAGGCGGCGATCGGGGCCCGGCGCCGACCCTGAGCGCACCCGACACGCCCTCTCGCGCGCGAGCCCCGGGCCGGGCCCGCCCGTCGCGCGCCCACCATGAACCTGGCTAGTCAGAGCGGCGAGGCCGGCGCCGGCCAGCTGCTCTTCGCCAACTTCAACCAGGACAACACGTAAGGCCGGGAGGGTATCGGGGGGCCGGGGCCGGGGGCCGAGGCCTGGGGTTGGGACGGGCGGGAGCCTGGGGCCGGGGCTGGAGCGGGCGGGACCCCGACCCCGAGGCCGAGGCCGGGCCCGAGATCGGGCCTTGGAGGTTCGGCGTGGAGGCCGGGGAGGGCGGGGGCGCCCCTGGGGGCGGGCCCGGAGCGTGGAGGGAGGGGCGCTCTGCTCGGGGACCCTCCGCGCTTTGCGCTGGAGCTGCGATCTCTGGGCGGGGAAAGTGATGGAGATAGGGAGGTGTTGCACCCACCCACCGAAAGGTTGCTTTACCCTGTGGGACCTCCCTTCTCACAAAGTTGGGGCACAACTTTGTGGCTTGACCTGTTGTCTCAGACGCTTCCGGAGCGCTGAGAGTGCGTTTCTTCCTGTATTCCACCTCCCCTTCTTCGTCAGCTCTCTTCCTCCACTCTTTCCCTTCTTCAGGCCCTTCTCCTAGTCGCCTCATCATCTTAGGGCCTCTTTCCCTTCTTTGCTTTCTTTTACTTCCTGTCTCGCTGTTCTTTTTTAGGTGACTTTGATGTCCTGCCCGAGCAAGAAACAGATTTAGCAATAACCCTGGCCTCTGATCTGGGGAGAAACTGAGCCAAGAGGGACATCTTGGGGATGTCCCAAGGGGAAGAGCGGCCACTGATGCCCACCCATGGTTTGGAACGGTGTTTGTCCAAACCCATGTGGGTTTGAGGCTGATTCTTCGGAGGCTGTGTGGGTGACCTGTGAGGATAGTTAATAGATGAAGTTTCTGGAGAAGGAAGGAGGAGTGGAACTGGAAGGGAGGAGAGCCATCTTGGGAAGTGAGTAAGAGGAAGTGATGTAAGTGAGGAGGAATGGGTCATTGGCTTCATAGTAAGTAGTTGATTGAGTTGTTACTGGCTGAATGGTATCAGCAAAGTAGAAAAAAATTTTTTTTAAATGAAAAGTTCATTGTGGGGGGCAAGCAGCAGGTGCTCAGCAGCATCTCCCCAGATTTGGGAGGTTAGTGCAGAGGGTCCAGCAGGGGGACCCCACCGAGGGTGAAAAGGAAGCCAGTCTCCTTCAGGGACTGCACATGAGGAACCTGAAGTTCACAGAGGTCCAGAGCTGTGCTTGGATCTTCCACTTGGCCAATAGTGGAGTGGGGGATGGGACTGACTTCTTTGCCAGTGATCTTCCCACCTTGCCCCACTGTCTTTTCTACCTAAAAGGTAGGAGTTTGAGGACAGTGAATTTAGAAATCATACTGTAGCAATCTTTGAAGATTATAACAGCCAGATATATAAGCATACTGTGTGACCAAAAACCAGTACAACAGAAACATCTTGGACAACCTGTTGCACATGGTTGTAATTGGGATAGACTATATTATATTCATCCAAGAAGCGAATAGAGCATTTCAAACCATCTGTGATTTGGTTTTTCAGCCCTTAGTATTTTGAGATCGGTAAGAAGTGGTAGCTTCGTGGTTGTTTTTATGTCTTCTATAAATTAGTGAATTTCCAAAACATTTTCTACCTTTTTTTCTCAGGTTTTCACTACCCATTATTTATTTGAAAGTAAATAAAATATGAGAAGGTGTTCTCTTTGGCTCTCATTTCAAATGGGCTCCACATCCCATATATAATAGACTGTATCAGTCTGGCTTGAAATTAGACCTTTTCACACTTGAAAATCATGTGCTTCCCCACTCCTCAGTGGGTCCTGAAGTTCAAGAGATTTCTGAGATTTCTGTGTCCTAATTTGGACTTGCCAGAGACCTTGATAGAGTGTGAACATAAATTGTTAAGGGTAAGTTAAGATTATACTAGAAGTTTATCAGTTAAAATGACTGTAATTTGTCTTAAAGAAACGCACGAGTTCCTGAGGAAAGGCTGCACGGTTTACCCCTTTGCCTCCCTTATCCAACTCCAGAAACTGTAGAGGAACACAGTTTTTCACAAGACAAAGGTTATTGGTGTGGGATCCACATTAACTGTATTGAGTGAGAAAATCTGGAAGCCATTTCACTTAGTAGAATAGGTGTATGTTATGCAGGAAGGCTTAACAAAGAATACTCCTTGTATAGCAAGCTATATCCTGCTTTTTTGTCCAGAAAGTGTGCTCAGTTTTCTAGGATTCTTTCCCTGAAAGTATGAATAAGTTTTGTTTTGTTTTGTTTTTTAAAGATTTTATTTATTTGACAGAGAGATCACAAGTAGGCAGAGAGGCAGGCAGAGAGGGGGGGAAGCGGGGTCTCTACTGAGCAGAGAGCCCGATGCGGGGCTCGATCCCAGGACCCTGAGATCATGACCAGAGCCAAAGGCAGAGGTCTTAACCCACTGAGCCACCCAGGCACCCCTGTTTTGTTTTGTTTTTTTTAAGCAAGAGCAGTGAAAGCACTAAAACAGCTGATCTCAGTCACCTATTGTCTGGTTAGTTCCAATCCTAGTTTCTGGAAGTAACAGTGTGGAAGGCTTATTTTGGGGGGATTTTTGGCTTTTGAAATTGAAGTTAACAAACTAATAAGTGGCAGAGTGTCACTTAAATGAAAATGTCAAGGACTGAAGTCCTCCATCGGATGCCTCTTAGCTTGTGGGAAGCCCGTAGTTCGGCAACGTCTGTTTTAAACAACACTCCAAAAGGGGCAGATGAAAGAAAGGGACTTGGTTTTCCAAGTTTTTCGTTTGTAGCATTGATGTTGTTAGTGTCCAGAAAAGTTATAGAGACGCTTGTTTAAATGAGATTCTTCTAGGTTACAGAGATTATTCTGGGAAAGTCACTAGTCTCCACTTTCTCCTCATCAGTAAATTGAGAGGCTTGATTGTGAATGGATTTTAAGGATCCTTCAGCCTTAAAGTTTTAGGTCATTCCGCCTGCTGGGTAGAGAGTGTGTTGGAGGAAGGCAGGACAGTCACCCAGGAGGATGTCGTCCAACAGCAGTGGCCCGTGGAGAGCAGACTGATCAGCCGTTGGGACTTGGTGTGACCTGTGGGATGTGGAAAGTGCAGGGCATTTAAGGTTACTCCCAAATCTCTGGTTTGGGTTTGGGGTGAACAGTGATTCTATTATGGGGGAAAGGTTAGAGGGAGATTCAGTTTGGGGACAAAGGATGAATTCTGCTTTGGCTCCTGTGGAATTTTCAAGGCCGTAGGACTATCCAGGTGGAGATCCGGGGTAGAAGTCCTGTGAGCTGAGGGAAGGGCCTGCTGCCCGACTAGCTTACTAGAGAGGGCCCAAGGTCAGCAGTTCAGGTGGTTTCCTTTTTATGGGTGTGGACAGATGCTGTGCAGCCCTTTAATCAAGTAAAAGGGAAAGCTTTTCGTGACTAATTACTGATAAGAAGGCAAAGAAAAGAAAAAAGGAGTTAAGAAAGAGATCCGATTCACATTTGAGGGTATTTTTGTTTTTGCTGTTTTGTTTTTAGTGGCAATCACTGTCTTTTAGATAGTGTACACTCAAATTTAAATTTAGTGACAGACTTGCAGTTAAAGAGGGTGGGTCAGACACGAACATTTATTTTGGCTCCCTCCCAAAACCCCACTACAAATATCAACCAATAAAATACCAAAAGATATTTTAAAAGGTTGAGACCGGTAAGGAAGGAGTCACCAGCAACAACATTTTGGCAGCTAACAAGTAGTGAAGGAACGTGACTCCCAAATTGCTAGTGAAGAAAGCGGAGAGCCAACCTAGTTTAAAGTGCAGAATCCCCAGGCTCAGGATTGGCAGTCTAGGGAAGCTCCAGAAGTGGGATTAGGGGGACGGGATGACAATACAGAGGATTGGCCCCAAGCATGTTCCAGAAGCACTCCCTCTCCCATCCTGGCAGAGGACTTGGACCTTGTCTCCAGGGTATATAATGGTGGTCTCGATTTTGACAGCAGGTGCCTCTGAAGGCAGGGGTGTAGTAGTGAAGTAGGGGCTTGAGTAGATCTGTCCTTTTTTCTATTATAGTGAGCTGGGGGTTTTCCCTTTGTCAATAAAAGATCTCTCTCTCTCTCACACACACACACAAACGTTTATTAGGCAATAAGATTATTTAAGAAGGAAATCTCAAACTTCTCTATTACTCTGCCTCTCCCATTAATATGTCTGCCGTTGTATGGTCAGGCAAGTCATGAGAAATTATTAAAAACAGGACCGTTCCCCAAAGAGGGATGTATGAACCTGATTGCTGGTGTTACCACCCTTTAAAAACATCTACCTTTATTGATAAAGTATGCATTCGTATTATAGCATATATGCATGTCAAAAAATAATTGAAATAACTGAAATATTTTTGGTTACATTTTTGGCTGATTGAGGTTTTGTAAACCGTGCAGTTAAAATTCTAGCTCAAGTGTTCAATATCCTAAATCAGCTTTGTAATATCTGTAAGAACATCTAAGTTCTGATGTTTGATCACCAAAGCCCAGTTTTGTTTTTTTAAGATTTTATTTATTTATTTACTTGACAGAGAGATCACAAGCAGGCAGAGAGGCAGGCAGAGAGAGAGGGGGAAGCAGGCTTTCCGCGGAGCAGAGAGCCGGATGCAGGGCTCGATCCCAGGACCCTGAGATCGTGACCTGAGCCGTAGGCAGAGGCTTTAACCACTGAGCCACCCAGGCGCCCCCCACAAAGCCCAGTTTTGACAGATTCTTCTGTTAGGAGCACAGCATCAAAATCCATCTTCTCATTAACTAGTTAAAGCTCCTTAACTCTGCCCATGAAAGAAAGCCTCTCTAAGCTTCTTTTATATATAAGGCCAATAGGCTTGGTGATTTGCTTCCTAAGTCAACAAGAAATTAGAATGGGAGAGGGGCTGTTAATGTTGGGGGCAGGGCCACAAGGAAGTGACACCTGTCAGCAGAACAAAAGGTGGAAAATGTATTTAGAAACTCAGCGCTACAGCCTGGCCATCTGAGGTCAGTACACAAAACCCTCAACTCCTTACTAGCGTCTGAGAGGGTCACTGTATTCTAATAGTAGGGTAAGTTTAATGATGGGAGCCCTGGAAGATGTTAAGAATTTCCCATCCCCTTGTGATAGGAACACAGGAAAGCATATAGTACAAAAGCGACTTTTTCTCATTTTTTAATCAGAAATGGTGGAGGGGAGGTATTGGTGCTTAATAGTTAGTTATCTGGAAAACATTCTCCCAAACACCCAACTTTCCAAAAGTTGTAGATTGCTGAGAGTTTGTCGTATTTTTTAGCTTTCCTAGGTATTCTTCTATTTTTTTTTTATTGGCACCTTTATTGCTTTTCAAAATATTTACAGGTAACAATACCTAATCGCTTCATCGATACAATTAATTCAGTACAGTGAAGGTGTTTTTTTCCCCAAAAAACAGACTGGTAGAAGGAGTTTTGTTTCTGTTTATACATCTAAGATATAGAAACCCATTACAGCTTAAAAATTTAATAGTGCTTATAAGCAGCTCCGTTCTTAGAATGTACTCTCCTCCTGCATATGGATGAAAGAGAGGTTGGAAATCTCAAGTTTTTAATAAGGTTTTTAATAGGTGAAATGGCCATTAGAGGGGCCCTGGTTTTTCTCTTGTTGTGCAGAGATACTCCTGGTCTCGTCTTCTGCTTTGTCTCCTGCCTCTACTTGTCTCCACGTCCTCCCAGACACTGAATTCACAGCAATCCCAGTCGCCACTTCCTCGCATGGCCCACGCTTCCTACTTCCTTGGCTCATCTTCTGTGTCTCAAAGCTGTGCTTTCTTCTGTTTGTTTTTTTTTCCTGCGGTCAGTCACGTTCCAGCGGGTAGTAATCGTCTGAGGAGGAAAACCTTCATGGAGTGTCCCTTGGCTCCTGTGCTGGGGGCCTGGAGGGCCCGCGAGGTCCCTTGAGGCCTCTCAGCCACCACCCGGGGGCTGGTGTCAGGTGTGAGTGGCTTCATCTTTTCTTCGTAGGTCAGCTGTGCAGTCTGCTGCCGGATTCTAAGTTAGCTCTTTGCTCCGTTTTATTTCTACCCCACTGTCCGGCCCGGGCGTAACACAGGTGGTTGAACTGCATTTGCTGGGGTCTGGCCGAAAGGCCGAAGGGCGTCATCGTCCCCTGCGCTGTCCTTATCTTTGCTTAAAGTTTGGGGCGTCAGCTTATTTAGCCTTTGGACTCGCATGTAGATGAGATCACCTGAGACACCCCACTCTGCTCGGAGGGGGTCACTGACTTAGGGCCGATTACTTCCATTCATTTGTCACATTTATCTTTAAGGTTTTGTAGGCTTTAGACAAGAATACTGCCTGTACTTCATTGACCTTCACCTTTCCCTGGCTGTGAGCCGGGCCGTCTCGCCCTGCCCCTTTCCCCTTTCCTGCTCAGCCACCACTCACCTACTGCAAATGATCTGAAATGATTGGTGCAAATTTTTGGTAGAGATGGTGGTTGCTGGTTGGTAACTTGGAGCTAGTTTGTGCATTATCACTGTCTACACGTATCAGCTCTTATTTCTGATTTGGCTTTTTTGCAGGTCCCTAGCTGTTGGTAGTAAGTCCGGTTATAAATTTTTCTCCCTTTCTTCTGTGGATAAGCTGGAACAGATCTATGAATGCAGTAAGTGTTTGCTTTATTTTTCCCCTTTCTTAAAAAAAAAAAAAAAGACAAATGATACTTGAATTGGAATGCAATCTCAAATTCTGACACTGTGATTGAAGCCCCGAGACCCCTTGACCGGTACTCTTCTCGTCCCTTGATCCCCACAGATGGTACGTGGCCTCCAAGGTCTGTGCGTGTGCGTACTTCCACGGGTACGCATAGAAACATTTGTTTTATGGGTGGTTTTTTTCTAACACATGATACCATGTTGTATGTACTATTCTGTCATTGCTCCCCACTTTAAATGCCATTGTGTAAACCACTTTGGTTTCTGTTCTAAAGGGCTTCCAGAAAATGGAAAACCTCACAGCTGCTGTAGGAATGATTTATTTTCTTCTGTTGTCGTCTTCCAGCAGTCGGGTCACCCACATGTCAGAGGCGATACGGGACTGTGGAAGGGTCGTGTGAGCTTTGACTTCATGCTCAGTCACTCACTTGTGACTTTACATAGACTGCTTCATCTCAGACCTGGGTTTCTTTGGTTTTCGTTTGTGTGTGTCTGTGTAAGTCATGCTTGGAGATTGCATGGGAGGTACAGACCCCTCCTCCCCAGAGTGAATATGCTAGAAAGCTTGGGGCTCTTCCTATATACATAACTTATTTTCTATGAGCTTAACGTAGTTACACACATGTAAAATACACGTAAAGGTATACTTTTGTCTTTGTGTGTGGTTTCATTTTATAGAGGCGAGCTTGTAATACGCTTTGTTCTTTATTTTTGTTTTTAAAAACATGACCTCTTTTAGATTGAGGTGATTGGATTTACATGCAAATGTTGGAAATAATACAGATGCCTTATACCCTTTTCCCAGTTTCCCGCAGTGCTAGCGTTGTGTGAAAGCGCAGGGTAGTGTCAACAGCCAGTAGAGCAACATTGATGGGACCCGTCACTCCCATTCAGGTTTCCCCAGTTCTGCTTGTACGGACGTGAGTTTTTATAAGTTCTGTACGGTCTTAACGCCCTTGTACGTTCCCGTTTTACCAAAAGCAAGACTCTAGAAAGTTCTGACATGGTAGGATTCTTCCTGCTGTCCTTTTATGACCATACTTGTCTTCTTCCTGTCCCCCCACCCTAATCCTGGCTAATCACACATCTGTTCTCTGTTTCTTAAATTTTGTCATTTCAAAAATGCCGTATGAATGGAAGATTATAACCTTTTGGGGTTTGCTTTTTTTATTTAGCATAATTCTCTGGAAATTCATCCATGCCGTTGTGTGTGTGTCGGTAATTCCTTTTTATGACTGAGAAGTATTCCATGGGTGTGGCCGGACCACAGTTTACCAGTCCCCTGTTGAAGGGCAGCTGGGCTGACTCTGGTTTTTGGCGATTACAGATAAAGCTGCTGTGAACAGAGCTTTGGGTAGATGTAAGGTTCTATCTCTCTGGGATAGATACCTAAGAGTATATGCTGGGTCATATGGCACCCCCCCCATTTTTTTTCTTTCTTTTTAAAGAAGCTACCTAAGTATTTTCCGGGTGGCTGTACCGTTTTACCTTCCCACTGACAATGTATGAGAGATCCACTTCCTCCGTCTTTGCTGGCATTTGGTGTTATCACTGTTTTTTTCATTGTGACCATCCTGGTAGGTATCAGCAGTGCGGTCTCATTGTGGTTCTGATGTGCTTTTCCTTAACAGTTAATGACGTTGAGCATCTTTTCGCATGCTTATTTGCCACACGTATATTCTCTTTAGTGAAATGTCCACGTTTTCGCCCATGTTCTCGTGGGATTATTTGGGTTTTTCTTTTTTGATGTTGAGTTTTGAGAGTTCTTTTTATATTCTGGATACTAGTCCTTCGTCAGACATGTGGGTGTTTTGTTTTGTTTTGTTTGAAGATTTTATTTATTTATTTGACAGAGAGAGATCACAGGTAGGCAGAGAGGCAGGCAGAGAGAGAGGGGGAAGCAGGCTCCCCGCTGAACAGAGAGCCCGATGCGGGGCTCAATCCCAGGACCCTGAGACCATAACCTGAGCCGAAGGCAGAGGCTTAACCCACTGAGCCACCCAGGAGCCCCAAGACATGCAGTTTGTAAGTATTTTCTCTGTCTATGATAAGCAGCCCCGAAACCTGCCTATGGCCTGACCTCAGTTAAGAATCCTTGTTAGAGAATTAGGAGCTGTCCACACAGCATACTTCTTGTAATTGGTCACATGGGGTGTGCATTCAGGGAGAGACTGAATACTTACCATGTCAGCTCTGTGAGCGTGCAGTTGTGCCGTCCGATTTCTTCCTTATTAACAACGTCAGTATCTCCCTCCTGAGCGACTGTTCCAGTGCTGCCAACTTTGCTTTCTTGATGGTCTGGTGTTCCATTCTGGAATTCTACTCTGCCTGCCGATAGCTCTGAAGAAGGGGGAGGTGGGGCGAGTAGGGCCAGCAGGCTTCTCCTTCGTTCTTGTTTCCATTCACTCCATGAACACATCTCAGGAACCTGCTGTGTGTGGCCCTATTCTGCACATGGAGATGCGGTAGGGCCACGTTCCTGTCCCCTTGACACTTGTGGTTAAGTGGAGAGAGACAACAGAATACGTGTATCTGTGTCCAGTGTTAGGCTGGGGACACGGCGACAAGCACAGACACAAATACCGCCTCCCACCCCTGTTGCATAAGATGAAGATGTTGGGGAAATGTCACTTCTTCTGCCTGTTGCTTGAGATGGGGGAGTTCTTGTGGTCCACCACTAGGGGAGAGGGTTTACAGCCTCCCTCCAGGCCTCAGCCCCCTCTCCTCAGTAGCCCTTCGGGTGACCCCTCCCCTCCATCAGTGGAGTGGCGGACTTCTCTCCATTGTTTGTTGCTGCCCCAAAGGCTAGCACCCAGGCCTTCCCCCAGGAGCTCTCCAGTGTCTCTGACTCATACTTCCTGTGGGTTGCCTTAGAGTTTACTCCTTTTTTTGTCTTCAGACTTGGCCTGCTGATGATTACTAAATCTTCTTTTCAAAAAGCCTTTTTTTCTTGTATGTAGCTCGAAGATGCGATCTGGGTGATAAAACGGCTGGGAACTCGTGTGCTTCCTTATCTCAGGTGGCTGGCCGTAGTTTGAAAAAATCTCCAAACTGGTCACCTTCCCATGGTCCCACATAGGATTGTTCCCTGCAGGGGATTTCTTCAGAGAAGGGTAGCCTGATCACTGGATTCCATCGGGCTTTTATGAATGACTAAAACATTCACTAACTCTTCGCCCCAGTGAGCCCCTGAATTGTGCAGTGAAAGTGTGGCTGTAGTGACTAGGGTCAGTCACCTGCTTTGAAATCCGTAGAATCCCCCACCCCCAGCCCGCATTCGGAGACTCAGTGCTGAGAAAGGGTGTCTTTACCCTTCCCCAGATGGAATCAGTTCAATCACTCATCTGTTCCCTTGAACTTTATTCACTGATTCTTGGTGCCTCATTTTTTTTTTAAAGGTTTTTGGTGGAACAAAATGTGATGTCTTGATAATACTGTGAAAAGAAAGAGTGGGTATTTAGCGACCTACATGGTAAGGTGGAAGATTTCTTTGGTCTTCTCTCAGTGAACTTTGACCCTTAGAAATAGGTGATGAAAACAGACAAATAATTTTTTTAAGGGTTAATACTTTAAACGGGAAGTGATGAGATTCTTTTTCTCCTGGAACGTTGTCCAACTCTCCTCTCTCTCGCACACTTTTTTTTTTTTTTTTTTAAGATTTTATTTATTTATTTGACAGAGAGACATAGTGAGAGAGGGAACACAAGCAGGGGGAGTGGGGAAGGGAGAAGCAGATTTCCCGCCGAGCAGGGAGCCTGATGTGGGGCTGGATCCCAGGACCCTGGGATCATGACCTGAGCTGAAGACAGATGCTTAACCAACTGAGCCACCCAGGCGCCCCTCCCACACATACTTTTATTGAGTAGATCAAAGAATGTCTGTTCAGAAACAGGTCAGCTACTGAATCAAGATTGGTTTCTGGAATTTTTCTACAAATAGACCCAGAGCAAAGAATACACGTGAGGTTTCGTGCAGGCTTGTAATCTCAGCGGCGTGTCACAAACTCAGATCTTTACTCTCGGTCACTGTTGCTGTCACAGAAAGAATGAGCCAGAACTGGTCTTGGGAAGAACAGAATAAACAACTGCTCATTCTTCTGCTGGTGATTTAAACAAACAAACAAACAAACAAACAAAAAAGCCTTTCCCCCAGTAATAGTGGAAGATTTTTTTCCCGTCTATATTGTAATTTCTGCAGGAACTCCCATGTATGCATTTCCTGTTGTTTGTGCCTGTGCCCTTTTGTCCTTTCATTCTCTCTCTTTCTCTCTCTCTCCACTCTCTATCCCTTGTGTGTGTGGAGATAAATACATAACGTGCAGATGTGTTGATCTCCCTTCCCTGAAACAGGATTGCAGTGAAATCCTTCCCCCGTAGACAAAATAAAGGGTGTGTAGATGTTATTTGTAGAGTAGCCCATAAGTTGGGAGGAAAAGTTGGCTTTTCACATTCTACATTGTGTATGTTTGCGTTTTTAAGTGTCTGAGCTAAGAAGACATACCTCAGGAGCATTGAGCTCTGAAATCGAGCTTAGGCGGACTGTTCTGACCTGCACAAAGGTAACCGGCACCTTCTTTGTCACCAGCCAGACATAGAGTACCTAACACCTGAAGACTCACCGTCATCGACCCTACAGGCCGTCACCTGCCCCTGAAGGTCTGAGAAATGGTGCTTTTGAGATCATTCCGATTTGACAGACAACCCTGGTTAGAATATTCATTTCTGTGAAACATGGTTTTGGATCTTAGGGGGAGAAATCCAGCGGCCTCTCTCTGCCTAAATCTGTTGTGATGAAGAGCGGGCTCTTGCCTCTCCGTAGAGCAGCAGGCGTCCGGCAGACATGCCTTGTTTAGACGTGCGTCTTGTCTCTTCCTGGTTTCTAGAAGTTTTATCCTTGTCAGCTCTAAGCAGCACCTGCAGAAGCAAAACAGCATTCTTTTTTAAATCAAGTA